CCATACTGGCGATGCCCCATGCTTCCAGAACCATAGTCATTGAGAAAAGGTGTTGAGGGCGCGGGTGCGCAATCTGCTTGATTGAATGGATAGGTAGATTTGGGAGAGAAGAGACAGCCTGGTCTTCTTCTCGTCTGTCTGGCGCTCGAATTGGTGTATGGTTTCTTGGGATAAGGATGGTTGGGGAGCTGGTGATGGCAGGCAGTATGTATCAAAAGGGTCCTTGGGCCGTCGAGCTATGTATGTCCCGTATATAGATCGACGATTGTTTCTGGTGACCAAGGGAAGATCCGAAGCAGATCCGAGGGAAGAAGGCCTTTGATATATATCTCTCTTTATGTCTGCCAGGCAAGAAGACGGGGAAGAAGAAAAGGTACGAGGGAAGGATAGACAAGGGCGAGGGGGGGGCTTGATGTAGCAGGCAGGCAGAGGAAGAATAAGCAGCAGCAGACCGACGAAGGGCTCCTCTTTAGATATTTGTCTGATGGAAAGAAGCCTAAAAAAATATCGCCTGGTGGGGCCTCTGCCTCTGCTTCTTCTGCTTCTGCTTCTTCGTCAACTTCTCTTCTGCAAAAAACCCAAGGGGCCACAAGAGTATTGGGTAAAGGAGTAAGTTAAGTCGTGTGGCTGCTCACGGGGCGATAGATAGCAACCCACGATCCCCAGCAAGGGTTGTCCTGCTTTTTTCTTTTCTTTTTCTTTTTTTTCTTTTCTCCCCTTCTTATATATTTTCTTTTCTTTTGCTCTTCTTCTTCCTTTTTTCTTTCTTTTTTTTCCTTTTTTTACTATTTTATTTGCAAGGGCAAGTTTAAATTTCTGGAGACAAGGGGGTGGATGCAAGAGTAAGATAGGGACGCTGCTTGACAGATATCAACTGACGGATGATGATATACTTTGATATCAAGTCTGGATAAGGGGCAAGCTGATATCAGGGACAACCGCTTCTCTTCCTTTTTTTACTTCATGATACACCCAAAAAGAGAGGAGAGAGAGGCGAAAAGATGGGGAGGGAAAAGAGCAAGCAGAGTGAAGAAGTGGAGGAAGCAGAAGGTTGGGATAGGATGAAACGAACACACACCCCCATAAACTAAGTAAGTGTGTGTATATGTGTCAGTAAAGTGAGTGTACGGAGCATATTTATCTAAGTTCAGTAAAAGGCAGCAAAAGGTCAGGTCGAGCCGGGAGGCTAATACATGCAACGAATCGAAGCCTCAAAGGCAGCCCGACAGGACAGCATAAAGAGCAAGAGCAAGAGCAAAGCAAGCAAGCAAGCAGCAAGCCGTCAAGCAGACAGACAGACACAGACAAGAAGATGAAATCCACAAGGATGATAAGAAACTGTAAGGAAGGAGGAAAAAAGCAGCCAAAAAACAGTGGAGCATGAAGAATAGCGATTTCGATACATGCAGAATACATATACTTACTCCGTACTTACACATACAAGTTTACAGTGACAGCAAAGAAGAGAAGATGGCTTCTGTCGACTGCCTCTTGTTGAACCCCTTTTCCACACACACACACCCCCTCTACCATCTGGATGGTTTAACACACGGCTTCCCCTCGAGGATTCGCGGTGCATCAAACAATCCAGAAGGAAAGGGGAATAACCATAGGCCATCAAGGCTCATGCTCGGGCACCTGCAAGCTGTGGGAACTATACATACATCCTCTGTATGTACGGGCATAACTTACATCAGAGTGTATATACATCAAGGCTGGTAACAAGAAAGCAGGCGTGTCATCGTTTCGCTTTCGGGTTTGTTGGACACGAATACCGGGTCTACTTGCACCGACCGGCGTGTTCTGCCAACGAGATCAGAGCCAGCCGTGGATCCAGAAAGGAAAAGGGAGGGCCCTGTATCTTTCTCTGGTGTAAACGGGGGTACGAAAAAGCAAGCAAGGGGGTGGGAAGGGACCCAGAAAGTGATGCATTACAGGCCGAATACAGACACCGTAATGACGGGACTTGGGGACATTTTTCAGCTTCATCTTTTTTTTTTTGGCTTTCTTTCTTTTTTTTTCACTTACGAGGGAGAAACTATACTATTACGTCCCGGAAGGAAGAGACGGACGGGGGAATGGGAGGGATACGGTGGAGTCTCTTGGTGGGTTCACGATGGGCGACGGGACGCTGGCATGGTCAGGCTTTGGAGTGATTTCTGATATCTGAGGGTTGGGCACGACCCAAAGGGGAAGAGAAAGAAAGACAGCAAGAGAGGAAGCAAGCAAGAAGTATCATCAACAGAGAGCCAAAAAGAAAATAAAAAGCCGTGGAGAGATCAATTGTTTGTTGCTTTTTCTTCTTCTTTTTAGGCAGTGCTTTGCTTTTGCTTCGGCTGTAGATCGTTTTTGCCTTTTCGTGGCTGTGGGATGGGAGTAAAGAGGAATGGGAATAGAAAACGGCTACGATGAGATAGAAGATGGATGATGGAGAAGACGGCTGTATGAAACATATCAAGAGAAGAAGCAACGAAAAAGGGTGTGGTGAAGAAAGGCCCCTATGATACGGGGTCTTATCCACAAGCTGTCATTCCTGCTCTTCTTCTCTCTTTCTCTCCTTTCCCTTTTACATCAGATGGAAAGATACGGTGATGATGGTCAGCCAGTATCTTCCTCTTGTCTGTTCATTCGCCTCTAATCCCAACAAGGGCTAACCATGTCTGTCTCCTTGGGTTTCGATTAACTCTTAGTCCCTCCCTGCAGGGATCCAAGGCGCTTCAAACCTTCTCTTTCTTATTCTGTTGAAAAGGGAAAGGAAAACAGCAAAAAAGGAATATAAGGTGACTGATGATAAGTAATGGGAGCATTTCTTTCGTCACTCAAAGTCTGTTGCTGACGCTCCGTCTTCGCAGGGCTGCAAAGAAGCAAAAAAGGGGAGGGGGCGGCCAGCAGGCGGAGATGGGATGGAGATAATTTATCCGATACAAGAAAGAGAAAAGGCCGAACAGTTGGCTAATGCTTTTTTGCGGGTTGCTTGTAGGTGGACGAACACAGCGTCTTTGCTCCATCATGGACAAAGGATACCGCTATTATGTACATACTCCGTAGAAATATCTCCTTTGGTGGCAGGAAAACGTCTGCAGGAGCGGAATGGGTTTGGGTTTGCCCTTGGGAAACCAGCAATTGGAGTGGGTTTTTTTCATGGCTGCTGTGTGACATCGCTATGGCTCGCCGTCACCCGCCTTGCCTTGCCTTAGAGTCGAGGACACCGCAGACACACAGCCTTCAGCACCGACACGAAGGGAGGAGGGAAGTCTTTAAGCCTAGGCAAGCCATATCCATGGAAAGAGACATTCTGTTGTAACCCCAAGGTGAGCTCCAGGCTTCAAATCATAAGGTTTATCCAAGCTTGCCTCCTCATCGAAGTATATACATCCTTCTTGTGTATATGAAGTATGATATGGTTTGAAGTAAACAGGAAGTTTCCCCAGAGACTGGACTCGACGGGACTCGAGACAAAGCACCGGTATCTCCGACTTTTGAAAATCCTCCTATTCCCTCTGATCAATTCTGTGGATGGAACAAAACGCCTTTTCTAACAGTTCCGTGGTTCGACTGTCCATCCCGCAAGTAGATATCCAGCACAAACTGCATCGAAGCTGTCCTGGTCGCGAGAGCGCCATCTCCCAGAGGAACAAAAAAGGGAGCGCTAATTAACTTTCCTCCACCAAGCCTCAAAACTCTAGCTTAAATATCATCGCGTCGTCTTGCCGCAGAACAAAGTGGTGTGTCGTACAGGCGACGGTCAAGGGTCACGGAAGAAGCTGAACCGGAATATTGAGAGAGCAAAGCAAAGATAGTTCAGCTGGTTCCCAAAAAACAAAACAAGCAAAAGAAAAAAGCAAGGGAAAACTGGACAAATCATATCGGCGACTAGTTAGCCTGATTTCTTTCTCTAGCAGCAAATAACTGACTGACATGTAACCAGGCAAATATGTCAGCAGAGGACGAGGCGGACTGAAACTTGCCTTTTCTTTAACAAGTCCTCTTTCCTCTCGATCTCAAGAGAGAAAACACCGACTCGCAGCAACAGACCAACTGGGTCGACACAGATGCAGAAAGATGCGATCGGTCCAACGATCCGTCCATTCACAGCAGCGCGCTGGCCTGCAGGTTTCTTTTTCTCTCACGTCTCATTGGACACCGGTGGATTATTCTTCGCCTCAAGAGAGGGAATCAAGAATTGGAATGAAAAAGAAAAAGCAAAAAGCCCGACCATGGTGGCTCGTGAGGGACCCGTAAATACGGGGTCCTGCGTACAAAGACCACATCGACAGACATAAAGCAGTTAGTGGTGTTGTCTACTTGGTATACTCCGTCCGTCCAGCCGACCAGGTAGAAATACGTTTTTCTGTACCGTGTACCGTGTCTAGCATCCTTCGCTAGCTCCTGGATAATTATTTAATTAATTGGATGCTTCTATTGATAGGAATATGTCTTGGAAAGCCTCACACGGGACGGCCATCGCGAGGACTTACCATACAGAATACGGACAAAGTGTCTCTCGAGCGAACCCACCAGTAATACGGAAGAAATGTGTCTAAAAGGTTTCGATAACATAGCAAACCGAGGAAGCTCTGATTAATATAAATATATGCACGTATATGCATTGGGCACTGTTGACTGCAGAAGTTAGTGTGCATACCAAGACGGCCAAAACAAAAACGCCCTGACCTCTTTGTCAACTTTCTTGTCTTGCGAGTAGCAACGTCTGCAGGGATGCGATAGGGTGGCCTTTACTTCGACAATAATAATAGGTATATGGAGTATAGCAGAAGTATGTATACTGCGGAATTTGTTCCAGCGCCCTATGGAATATTGATTGGCTGCTTCAGGGCAGTGGAAAAGGCGCCAAGTTTGCTTTCAATCTGGAAAAACGTCCTCAGGCTCCCTCGCAGGTTGTGGTGCTTTTGGCATTTTCTCCTTGTTTGATTGGAGGTTTATGGCTCGGTATATCGCCCGCAGTCCGGTTCTGTATAGACTTCCAATACCTCAACTCGGAGAGGTCGGAAAGCAGCTGCATATCCCCCTGATCTTTCTCACAGCACGCAATGCCATGATCCATGTCTCTTGAATTCTTTGCTTTTCCTGCTCACAACCCCTCGATCAAAGAGGTCCACTGGTAACTTCCAGATAATAGGAAGTAGTGGTACTCCGTAGAAGAAAAGTCTCTTCATTATTTTGCACCTGCTCGGTGGCCTGTCACATCGGTATGTCACACATCAAACCGGTTGTCTGCTGCCTGGATGAGATATCGAGAACCTACTCTGTACATGGCTCAGGAACGGGGACGGGACGGAGAAGCGCCCTTGGGTCGAATTTTTGATCTCACATGATGGCTCCTCCATGTACAGCACAGCCTCTTTGCCAATATTCTGTGCATCTTGCTACGGGGAGGCTGCGGTTACTTTCTCGGCTTCATTGGGTGGAAAGCCTCTCCACCACCAGCTAGTTTGTCCGGAGAAATACTCCGAAAGTAAACGTAGTTACTCTGTACACATCAAAGCAAATAAATGAGATACAGTTTCAAAGGGAAAAAGAATGAGTTCTTAGGTGTGCCTCTGGATGTTGCAGTCAGTTGTTGATGTTGCGGTGCAGAAATGTGTGATACACTTGAGGTCGAATTAAGCTACTCCATGGATAAGCTTATGTCTGGTAAGTGATCGTCCTTGGACAGCGAGATCTTCGGTGAAGTTGAACGAGAGTCATGGTTACTGCGAGACAAGCCAAGGTCACCGTTTTTCGTCCTCCTTTATCCCAGGACTCGAAGAAGATTTTTTTGTTTTTGATGATGCTTTTCCGTTCTTCTTCTCCCACGCAGTGATCGCCTCGAAATTAACGGTGAGCATCAAAAACAAACAAAACGACCTGCTCTGCATGGATGCGCCATTCCGCTTGGTACTTTTTCCAAGGTTCACCAGCCTGTCTCTGGAAGAAACGTATCCAAAGCAGCTGTACGATGCATTGCCTTCTGGAGACCGCTTTGCGACCGCCTTTTTACAGCCTAAAGTAGGTACTGCATATACAGCGCATGTTTCCGTCCATACTATGTACGACCAAGTAAATAGTATGTGGCCCCGGCCCAAGCCTGATCGACGTGACTATGCTAATCTTGAGCCAGCCATCAGAGCCGCCACAACAACAAAGAGAGCGGACTCGAGACTCCAGCAGAGGGGGATGGGGAGAGGAGCGTCCCGATCCCAAGTCTCTGGAAGATCGACCGCAAACTTTCAGCTCGGGTGTTTCTTTCCATAGAACAAAGTGATTGATCTTCTCTAATGACACACATATGAGATGCAAAGCTGACCCGATACGATAGATGTGTGCAAGCAGCCGACAAGCGCTCTATTCTCCACCATCTCTGACATCAGTGCTCAACCAGGTGCTGATAGGAACATCAATGTCGAATTTTTCTATCGACAAAGATGTGTTAAACCAGAGAGATTTACGAAGTACGGAGTACTACAAAAGGAATAATAGTCTCAGTTAGTCCTTATTCCTGTGGCGGCCGGCTCCCCTTTCATAATGTATGCCAACACTCCATACTCCATACTCTGCGCTCGAAAGCAACACCCACACCACATCACTCGTTCAAAGCGTCAATTCCCACCGAGAGGCTCAAGCGCACAGTTAAGCTCCTAATCCCCGAAGGTACACATTCCCTTGCAGCTCGCCACACAAAGAACAGAAAGAAGCAGAAGCAATCATGCAGTGACACGTACGGCACATCTGTATATCTCCCCAGTCAAGCTGGAGTCACAACCACCGACAATATGCCCACCCATCAAGAGGGTGGCGAGTTGTTGCAACAGAAACGCGCTCGATCTTCTTGACGTTTTGATGCATGTCATCGCATGGAATATCATTGACAGTAATCTTTCCCCTTTTTACTTACTTTGTGAGATAAAATAGATAAACTCAGCGATCAATAGCAAGGATTACCTAATCCATGTTTGCAAAAAGGGCGAGGATGCAAAAAAGGCGGAGTGAAGTGGAAAAGAAAAAAAAAAAAGGTGAAACTCCGTGATGGAGAAAAGTTACGATACTTCCATACTTACTTACATATACACAACACACCCACGCAGTGTAAGTACGGGCTAAGTCGATACTTAAGGGAGTACAGGTGCCAGGGATGGCCATGTTCAGGCAAATTGGCGATGACATAATAACATGAACGGCAACCGCGAGAGCGTCTCTCGTAGACTAGGACGGGAGAGCAGCACGGGTAACTCGAAGCCGAGCCCTCAAACCCAAAACAGCCATGAAAAAGCGCAGTGTCAGAGTGCTAAGCGGTCTTGAATTTACATAATAGGAATCCCGAAAAAGCGGGCAAGCTCAAAGCAGCTTAGATGAACGCGTCAGCTTCAGCAAGAAGAACCCTGCTCGGTGGAGAGTTTCCCCAGGATCACTGCTTAGCCCGGGTACAGGGAGCACCAGCCCACCAAGCAAACCAAGCAAACCAAGCATCCAAGCACCACAGTTAAGTTGAGGGCGTGGAGCTCAGGCGTTAACGTGATTGCTGGTGGTCTTGTCGCCTTGCATCCCGCGCGGTAGTTTGGGACTTGCGTTGCCATTTCAGTGGGGGAGGGAGAAAAAGCAACTCTCGGTGGTGGGGGGGGATGGAGAGGAAGTGATGGGTGAAGGAGAGTCAGACGGTGATGTGGAACCAAGACCACACGAGCATGACTTGCAAAAACGAAGCCAGGGGAGTGAAGAGAGTCTGCTATCTATGGAGTAGGAGCAGAGGAAGTGTTCTTCACAAACCCGACGCAATGGAGGATACTGGACCAGAATCGATAATATGAAAAGCCATCTCGATACGGGAATTTATTCGATATCACGATCTTGGCAGTTTGATTTTGACTGTTTTTCCAACTTCTTTTTTTTCCCCTTTCCTTGCTTTCTCATTCTTTTTGCGTGTGGTTATCTACAATCGTTTTGTAGGGAACTAGCTTCATGCTCTGTGACGACACCAGCATACGGAGTACATGCGGCGACTACCAACACCAGGGGATGGGACCCAGGGGACTGAGGAAATTTCGGGGCTCACAACATCACCGACTCAGACGACACAACATGGTCTTGCTACATTTGATAGGCTGCACGGAGTAGTCCGTGATGGGGATACGGGAACACAAAAAAGAGGATATCGAAAGGACGGTGTTCCAAGATAGCTCTTTGAGTCGTCATAAGCCTTGAGAGCGACGTTGCAAAATGGGGTTTACCTGCCGTGTCAAGTTATACGAAGAGCTTATGCGTATGCATTCCGATGTGCTGTGATGGCGTGCAGCTACTCCAGTGCGCATGGTACTCAAAGAATTCAAACCGGATTTTTTAGGATGCCCCTTCCACCACCGCTATCCAAGTAAACATCTACACCGATACTGAAGCCCGATGGAAGTATTCCGTCCTCCCGTCGACATCTGGGGAGGGTATCTAGGTTACTTCTGCCTGTTCCAAAGGCGTGAAGATGGCGTTATTACAGCCAAGCCGCCATCAAAGGGATCCGATCCTCGACCCGCTGCAAGGGTGTGCAGTATGGGGTGTTAGTTGCCTTTTTTTTTTGACTTTCTATCTCACTATGGACGCCATCACCAGCGCCCTTTCTCAGCATGTGAATCCACTAGGCGAGTCATAATTCCTCAGCAGTAATATGGATAAAGAGGAGTATTCTCCAGAAACAGGACAGAGTGACGAACACGCTGGTGTCTCTCAGTGGAAATATATGGCCCAGTTCATATAGCGATGCTGATTGTTCAGGAGGTGTTTGAGATGCATTACGCGTCGTGTCTAATTGACCTTCTCGAGATCCCTCCTCCGATCAGCTCGATGCTTGCCATGGCAGAAGGGGTTGCTGACTCAGCGTAACTCGAGCAAAAGGGGGCCTTACATTCTATTCCTTTTTAGCTATGCCAAGCCTGAGACCCCTTTTATTGGTCCACATCCATCGCTGCAGAGTTCTTTGAGTCCAACGCCTGCTAAGTTACAGCGTACGGAGTACTTAGGACATATATACGGAGTATATTCTTACGAGACGGGCTGTGGACAAACGTCGTGATGGGGGAGTCACTCCGTATACCTGACACATTTACACGGTTTATATGCAAGGACGAGCTAACTCTATGGCTTGACTGGTTCAACAGACGCGGCAGACCAGATTAATAGTTCGCATGTTCTGGAGTCAAATATCAATCAATCAATAATCCGTCTCGCAGATGGTGCGTTAACTAATGCTTTACTCGCCTAGTTAGCGCCCTATGACGTCGATATTGAGAGGATGCCCCCAACCCGGGCAAGGCATGTCCTCTTAGCTTCACTTTGAATGCAACTCAACCCCCTCTAACTTTTGATATGGGCGCGCTTGATGGAGTTCCCCCTTGTCCTCTGTACGAGCCTTGGGAGACTTGGGGCTCTAATTTACCTTTTGTGAGGCCCCCAGCTAACGCAAGGCACAAACGGTTAGCTGAGGATCCCTTCTTGGTAGTAAGTGGCCATCGAGACTAAGTAAAGAGGGGGTCAGGGCATATATTACGACTCCGTGTTGTGAGGATCCGTCTGTTTGGGGCAGGAGATGGGATACAGCGAGCATGATGAAGAAAGAGTTAATGCTGCAAGAAGCCAATCCAAAATAGCAAGATACTTAGGCTATTCAACAGTTCCCGAACCCGGCTCTTATGTTCGGCCACGACCCTGCTATTAAGCGTAATATGACCGACTATATACCTCAAGGGTTACTGCCTTGATGAACTCTTTACTAGGGAGCACGGTTGTTCACAGCCCAACGTTTCCTAATTAACACGACAGCCGAGGTATGAAACCCGACCTCAAACAGGCGTCATTAATATCAGAGATATCGAGCACAAAACTGTTTGAGCACATTTTTTATACTCTGCACACCCACTCGCGATCTTCATAATATATATATATATATGTTCATCCGAGAGAAGAAGTGGAAAATCGCGAAACAGGAAGCCCTCCGTGGGTTTGTATATACTTATAATTCCTCATCATCAAAGAGATTCTTCACACCGCCGGCAGATCGCCATCAAGCCATTCCACCTCTCCTACCCACGTTTTGGGCGACTATCACTACCATTCACTGAAAACCACGCATTCGTGGCTCAGATCACCGTCAACTCTCCATGCTTAACCCTGAGACGATCATGCTCTGACTGGCAGCCATAGCAAAGAATGAAAAAGAAAATAAAGTAAATGAAGCATTCTTATTAATTCGATCTTCTCAGGAACGGGCGGTAAATCCTTCTTGGCCTATCACTGATCCCAGACCACCTTGATCTATCTGAGATCTCTGATGTCTGGAGCACATCCAGGCGAAGGACGTCTTCTTACCTGTCGCTTGGGTGAGGGCAGCGAAGGCTGGTGGGTAGATGGATGGAGCAACAGCAGCAGAGAAGGACGGAGTTATGTCATCGTAATACCGGAATACAGCGAAATCAACATACTAAGATTACGATACTGTTATTTACCGATTTTGCTTTACTTACCATACGAGAGGATTACAAAAGATACGAAAGAAGGTTATCTGCTTTAAGGTTTGGTGAAGTGCAGGTAAAGTTGGGTCCGCCAAGAGCTTTAAAGCTTCGCTGGCGGAGCTTTTCTATTTCACGAACTACATTTCGATGGTGAGGGAAGAAAGGCATGATTCAATCAATAGCCTCCTCCGAAGTGATCTTCCAACGTTTATTTCTCTTCGCTCGCGGAGGATCGCCCGCTCCCAAGGACATGGGCATATTATTGCAGCCATTAAGCTTCGTTAAATGTCCAAATAGTGACGAGCCAAGAGTCAATAGATTCCGGCTCGGCGTTGTTGATATTTCCTTTTCGTCCTTGCTCCCTCTCTGTTTGCCTACCTGCCTGCCTGCCTGTCTTCCCCCCTTCTCCCTTTGTTCATGTTTTTGATAGACTATATGGGTCACAACGCATCCTTCCTCCCATTCTTTCTTTTTTGCACTTTACCTGTCACTGGCGGTGACAGGGTGCTTGGTCGCGGAAACGAGCAAGCTGTTGGGGAAGGATGATGCGTATATGTATATACACATAACTACTTCAGGCTTTATCAGTACGCAAGTAGCATAAAAAAGTATGTATACTCTGTAACACAAAATCCACAACCAGGAAACCTGGAGAGATGAATACGAAGTTTAGGCGCTATAGAATAGGGGAGATCGAGTAAGCGTACTCCGTACTACTGATATCTCGCAGCGAAAAGGTAGAAGGGAAAATGAGCACCATTAATTGGACTGCAGTCCAAGTACTCGAGAGCGGAAAAAGAAAGTGGCGTGTGTATCTGAGATATCGATCGAATCACATCACGCAGAAAGGGACAAAGGATTTGGCCCCTGTCAACAGAGAGCCATCTCCTCCGTATAAGCATCTCCAATCTTATAGTTATGGACAACCAACACTCTCCACAGCTTCCGTCCAGTCAGCTTCGGGCACGGAAAGCAGGTCATCCTCTGTAACTCTCTCTGTCTTGTATGTGTGCACGCGCTTGTGCGGTGTGGATATACTTACTGGCAACTTCATGGTGATGTCACTGTACATCACCAGCCCAAGGCTGCTGCTGCGTTGTATGGGCAGGAAAGACTCACCTGGAGAGTCCGCTACCCCCTAACCATGAAGTTGCGCACATATACCTACATAACAGACAGGCAAAACAAGACTACAACGCCTTTCGGGAGCAAGGGGATCTTCCTGCACCTTTTTTTTTCAAGCAGGGCTTTGGCGGCGGTTTAAATACTGAGTCTGGGATGAACACCGCTGCTAATGCAGCTCCAAGACGGCAGAGGCGGTCAACTAAGTTAACTATCTTTACATCCATACATTATTAGTACTTGACCAACGAACGGGACAAAAGTCGGGAGCCGGACAAATGGATAGTACTCCGTATTGCTCGAGAACTCAACGTCCATCAACGGAGGTCAGCACTCTCCCTCAACTCACGCACTTCTCGCATCTTTATGCGCTCTCCCATCTCAAACTCCTCTCCAGCCAAAGGTATACGTGGAAGGACGGATTAAGTACGGAGTAAGTACGCCTTGCTCGTTCCCGGGAAGCATTAGCAGCTCCGCCGTAGCAGAGAACTAGTTAAGAATGCCAATCCGAGTCGCAGCGTATCGTTTCATCCGCTTGGCTCAGCTTCCTGACGCTTGACTCGTGAAAAAAGCATGCAAAAAAGAAAGAAGCTGAGCTCGTCTCTACCTGCTTGTCCCCGTCCTGTCCTTTTGTCTTTCCTGCCACCGCGCTCCGATATCCCTGCACATTCTGAAACGCACCGGGCCTCCCAGATGTCTGCTGGCCCCCCCCCACATCCCGCCTTGTTCAGCCTCCACTCCTTCATGGGCTCCTTGTTCGTTCCCCCTGGGTTCTTGGCTCCGCGAGCCCCCTGCCCGCTATGATGTCAGCCCAGCCGTCCTTGGTGCTTGGGTCGGGGCCAGCAAAGACATGTGGTGAACTGCTGGTTCATGGTGAGGACGCTCTGATACTGCGGACGTTCCTCTATGGGGGGGGAGGGGGGTTGCGGCTTCCCTTGGGCTCATCCTTCTCCTTTTTTTTTCTGGCTCCTCCTGAGTCGACCAACTCCCGAGAGTAGCCAACGTCGTTTTGATTCTGCATCTTCCAAGACTGCGAAACAGTGTATACGCAAGCTCCTATCTACCCCATACATAGTACGGAGCCATACTCACCAGGTTGTCGCCCCGAACCGAAGTATGGTGGAGAGAACGATCGATGATCAATCAAAACAAGATCATCTCATGTCACAGCGGCGTTCCTGAAGCATTCCGCTTGCCTTCCATGAACATTACTTTTTCTCTCTTGCTTAGCTTTCTTTTTTGACCCCTTCTAGAGCCTGAGCAGTGCTGTTGGTGAACGTGAAGAGACGCGCTTCCCTCGATCCGATCGTCTCTCTTGCTCCCTTCCATGCACAGCCAGGTGCCTGGGCCTGAAAATCACCCCATCACCATGAAGATCAAAAGAAAAAAATGGGAAACAATGAACAGAAAATTGTGAAATTTATCATCTTGTGGAACAAACTAGCTGTTAATACATATTATTAACTAGCTTACTCGATACCAAAGACGGGAAAATGCGTGCATTAAAAAGGGCAGCTCAGCCACCGAAACGCAGCTGGTTATTATCACGGCACTCGTTGATAATAAATCTCTGCCTGAACGGAGTGATATGTCGATGCTAAAGCACTCGCCACAAACCGTACGATCTAAATGCATTTTTGACATTATTATATCCTTTCCATGACGGAGTAATCTCCTCCTCTTTCTCTGCAAATTCTTCACGCAGCCCGCTCAGAGTCCGTCACATCTTGTGAAACTTGGGGGCACCAACTACACTCCAAGCAGTCTCTAAATCAGTGGTAACACTGCAGTTCTAAGGGAAGAATGGAAAGGCCCTTGCTCAACAGTACCAGCTCTGGGCCATCGATCCGGCTAAGCCGCCCGGGTATGGCCGTTGTGGTCGCTTCTTGAATGATCCTTATAATCGCCCAAGGAATCGGGGTCCAGTGTCACTCGAAGCCGGCAATGCAAATTGTGGCTTTTCTCCGCGATTATCTAGCCAGGAATCTTTTAACGCATATGTGCGTATATTCTCCGCATGTGCCTTCCTTTGACCTTAGATGTTTACTTTTTTTTCTGCGCAGCAGCAGCTAATACATCCCATGGGACACTGCTGCGCCTCATCTGAGTTCCTGTCTATCAGTGCGAGATTGTTCCGGGATGCTCATCCGTACCGTCTTCCAGCCTTTCCCGCCCAACGTATATGATACGCTCCAGAGAGCCATACCTCTCTTTTCGAATGACCTAGAAGAATTTGGACCTGAAAAGCGCAAGGTTCCTTTTGGAATATGCAGATAAACGATAACGAAACAAAAAAGAAGGAAAATACCAGAGAGCAGACAATGGTACCCAATTGCGGAAAGGCATGCCTTTCCTCTCGGATAGTTTGCTCAAGTATTGCGCTATTTTACTTGATTGGTCTACAGAAGATGGCTTTCAATATGTCGTCGGCTTGATTATGCTGTCTATAAAACTGTGGATAGTACGGAGCACATACAGAGTATGGAGTACTCCGTACGCCGGCAGTGTTTAGGTATGGAGAGTATGGGGTAGGTATGGAGTACTCCGTAGAGCTGACGCTCTATTAACTCCTCCTATGTAGTTTGAATTCGCCCCATCACTGCCAAAAATCCTCCACTTGCTTTTTTCTCCGGTCTTTACAGCTCTTTTCCAGCCTGACTGCCGCAAAGGGTCCGTGTTGCATGGGACCCTTCTTCAAGGCATCGACTGGACGGCATCATGCTCATACTGCTGGTGGCTACGTTTCATACACGCATCAGTGGCGTTTGTAGGAGCTGTTCCCCCTATAGCCTCGCTGAAAAGTATATCTACCTTAATTTGACGCCACATCCACCAAACAGACCAGATTATACGTCGTATAATTAATACTTACCATAGCAAGTCCGCCCAATACCTGATGGATGAGTGACGCTGTGCAACCATTCGAAACCCCCCCGCTGACCATCCTGCTCCACTGGAGAGAATGTGCAGAAATGGGGAGAAACACGTTTTGGCAGCACTTATCAGGTTAATGTCCGCCGTTGAAGAGTATTCGACATTACGAAGGGAAAAAAGGAAAGCGCTTTAATGGAGTTATCTGTACTACGCAGTAGCATAAGGGTACAACAACAAAAGGGATCATATCGTCTGGTGGCGGCATTGAAACTGCCTCGACAATGTGCGAAGGGAATATAGTATATTCAGGGGGCCATGCGAACCTACAGCTGGGACATAGTTACATCAGACCCAGTAAAGATGGCGTGGAAGATGCAAATATTGTAAAGGGTAGATAAATTTTATTTTGTATATCATTTGGACCCAAACATAGGGGTATCAACTCTAGGGCCAATATCACACCACCCATAGGATAACATTAGGATGCAATTAACTGATTATTACGGCCGACGTACAAGGAGCTCCTTTTTTGGTTCAACTTATACACTAGTAGAAGTGTGGCATGAAACTGCACCCTGAGCTCTACTAGCTGCTGCTGATCCAGCTCTACGACCAAAGACAGCACCAGAGGTTAGACCGGTACCTCCCGGGTAATTGCCATAGAAGAGGCCACCAAGCATCTCTCCTACACAGTAGAGGCCAGGGATCTGCTTATTGTTGGCCGAAGAAATGACAGTAGCCGTTTCTGGGGTCACGGCTAGTCCTCCAAACGTAAACGTAACGCCGCAGGTAACCTTCACTGCCAGATATGGTCCTTGGTCGAGAGGGAGAGCCCAGTTAGACTTGGGGAGGGACAGGCCACCGGCCTGAGATTGCGTGGACAGTCCATCTTTGATTGCTGGGTTCCATTTAGCGTCGGCATTCTCCCGGCGATGCTGGTAAACTGCGGTGTTATAGTCGGCGATTGTTTTGATAAAGGTCTCTTGATCTAGTAGTCCAACACGAGAGCACTTTTTAGCAAGCTCCGAGATTGAAGGGGCAGTAATATGCTCAACGACCTCTGGACGGTATTCTTCTTCCCGTAACCATGAAATAGCCTGCTGGTCCCAGACCTGAAATGCAATATGTCCGGGTTGCGCAAGGATGGCTCTGCCAAACTTTGCATATGTGAAATTTCTCATCTCTATACCCTCATCTACAAACCTTTCTCCCTCTGCATTGATCATCAATCCAAGGGGGTAACCCGACTTGGTAAATTGGTTTGATATTGCACGGTCACCGGAAGAGCGAGGAGCATTGGCATCCCATGCGACTGAGTGACATCCACGCCAGTCTCCGGCTCGTTTTGCCGACATATCACGAGTGGCTACCTCAAGACAATCACCAACATTGTATGGGGTGCCACGGACGAAAGCCTTGTCCCAGCCATCGCCTAGATACTGTTTGCGCATCTGAGGGTTTGATTCAAACCCTCCAGCAGCTAGTATCACGGCTTGGGTTTTTATATATTTTTCATTGCCATTGTTCTCAATAACTGCCCCAGAGAGTATGCCAGTGACAGGATCGGAAACCAGTTTTTTCAGCGGCGCCGAGTAAAACATAGCGACGCCCTTACGCCGTGCCGCTGCCTGGTAGTCCTGGATAAGACCCAACCCGCCATCTTCGGTTTTCAGGGACATACCTCCCCAAAATCTATAGCGTCCATCAACTTTGTAGGACTGTCGGTTGAATGATAATTGGAACCTAACACCAAGGCTTGCAAGCCACTTGATGGTGGCATTTGAATCCCAGACGAGAGCTTTGCAAAGGTCCCGGTCTGTCTGTCCATCGGTCATTCTTAACATATCTTCGGTGAACTCTTCGACGGTATACGGCTCCATATCTATGATACCTGCTTGCTCAGGCCGAATATTGTTCACAATCGGAAGAATGTCATCCAGGCCACTATGGACTGTTCGGAATGCACCAGCAGTGAAATAGGTATTGCCTCCCGCCCATTCTTCTGGAGCCTTTTCGACCAGGACGACATTCCTGGCACCGTGTTCAGCAGCCGAAATAGCGGCTGAGAAGCCTGCGTTCCCACTGCCAACGACTAAAACATCGCATTCCTGTGGGATTGCCATGCTGGAATTTCTAGATATCACTTGTGGTTCTGACTATGTGCGCTCCTCTCCTTGGATCAATGAATGTTTCCCCCGGATAATTGATAACCTCAACTTACAATAACAATACCGTTTCTTTAACCGCCGTGGTTTATTTACTGTGAGGAATATCTCGCTGGCACGGAGTACACAAGTTGATATTCGACTCGGCTCTCCTTCGAGCGGCCGAAATGCTGACCACAATGTTGACGGAGACTTGTCCTCCGCGTCACGGTTCCACATCTTAACTACCGAAACCGCCTAATGGAGCCTTTCAATATAAGTTAGATGGTATGGTTAGTGTGTAGATCAGTGTTCAGTGGGCTCTTGTCGAACCGCCAGCGTTCTGAATCCTTTGGTATTATCAATAGTCACGGGTCTGACCACAGCCATGGCCTAAAGTGAGCCAGGTGACAGCCAGCCATTGACGAGGAAAACGACCCCTCTCACCCACGCCGGCCAGTATCTGCATTATATGAAGGGCTCAAGCCAATATCAAGCGCGCTGTTATGAAGTTGAACCTCCATCGAAGCGCGATGTCGTCCAATTTATCCTTTTGCGTCTTTCGGGCGAACCCCTGCTCGGCAGCTCAAACAGGGCGCTAGTCCTTCTTTGTCAGTCACGTGGTAGCTTGCTTGCCCTGGAACCCTTTTTTTCCTCTCCTTGTAACTAAAAAGCAACGTCGAATTCCAAACTCCGACAGCGTATAAGAAAATTTTATACCAGACTTTTCATGACGAGATGATTATACGATCAGGGCCATGATTAAGCACCAGATAGATTTATTCTAGCCTGAGAGTATTGTCGATTTCGGCAAATAATACGATTCCCGCCAATATCAACCTGGTCTTTTAGCGGCCATGGTACGCTGCTTCAAAGAACGACAATCCACTTGATTCGCTTGCAAGGACGATAGAACCTGGATTATTGAGCTCCGTTCTCCCGCTTCAATCTTGCAAAAATGACCAAATCTCATGATCATGGCCCGCCAAAGATCTTGGCCCGAGCATGTCAATTTTGCCGGGCTCGGAAGATCAAATGTGATACCCAGCGGCCAAGCTGTAGCTCATGCATCAATCAGAAGAGAGAATGCGTGTATATATTAGAGGTCCCGAAAAGACGGTAGGTGGATCGGCGGTATACTGCAGGCAGCGCCAATTCTGTTGTTCGCCCAGGAGTTACACCCATTACTAACTGAGAATAGTCCATCTACAGCCATTGTCAACGCTCTCCAAAATGAGAAAAGACAGTTTGAGGAGATGATCTTACGTTTAAAAAAGGCCACTCCGGAAGAGCGGGAAACCTTATTGGAGTCTATTCCAGTCGAAGATGGCTCTGTGAAGCTCAAACGTGGCTCACCACCACCGTTTACCCCTTCACCTTTGGGACCAAAGAAAGCTAATCGGGAAACGAAGTCTCACCACTCTGATGATGATGGTATATCTTCAGATGAGGATCTGGATGTTCTCCCTTTCCTCTCTGTCGACGAAGGCGGCAGAGTCGATACATTCGGCCCTTCGTCTGCTTTGCAAGGACCAACGAAGCCCGTAATTTCAAAAGAATCACCTGTCACTGAACATGTCCGAAATCAGCTCATAGCAAATGCAATACTCCAGCGTCAACGAGAGCACGATATTAGGTGCTGGCGGGAGATATATGGCGTTCCGGTGGAGCTTGCTATTCATCTACTGGACCTCCATTGGAATCGACAGCATCACAGTTTCCTGCTTACATATAGACCAGCAGTCATGAGGGATCTGATACAGAATGGACCCTATTGCTCTGAATTCTTAATGAATGCTATTTTTGCATGTTCCTGCAAGTATTCACAGAGAATTGAGGTTCGGGATAATCCGGTAGACCCGGAAACTGCAGGTGGTCGGTTTTTTGTCCGTTGTGATCAATTACTAGCGGACCAGTCCCTTTTAAATTCTTCTACCATTGCAACTCTAGTTGGACTTTTGCTTCTTGGATCAACCTACAATGCATTGGGTCAAACATCTAAGGGATGGCTCTATACTGGATATGCCCTTCGAATGGTCTATGATCTTGGCCTTCACCTTGATTATAAAGCCACGACTGCAAACGCAGAGGATATTGAGATACGACGCCGCGTTTTTTGGGGCGCATTCATTTGCGATAAACTACAGAGTTTGTACCTGGGACGACCAATGGCCATTCACATAAGGGATACACATGTGTCACGCAACTTTATGGATACCATGGAAGAGAAGGAACTTTGGACACCTTATGTTGACCCTAGGCTCCCATCTGACTCTTTACCAGCTATGCCTGGTGCTCCTACTCCAATCCACTCTGTTACAACGTTTCAACAGTTATGTCTTCTTTCCAAGATCATGACCAAAATTATCAATCGTTTTTACGTGGTGGGAGCTACTGCTGCTAATGCAAGAGCTAGTCTACAATCAATCGATGACGCATTGATATCCTGGAAGGACAATCTCCCGTCTGACCTTAATTTCGAACCGTGGTCAGACAATCCATTGATTGCCCAGGCTCGTCCAGCCCCTAATGTCATGATCCTCAATGCTTTATATCACTCATTAGTGATCCTGCTTCATCGGCCATTCATAGCCGATGGCCATCTTCGTTCTGCTGTTGCACCGGCTAGCTCTTGGAAACGCTGCACTTCTGCTGCCAAAAACATAACCAGCATAGTATTGGCATATAAATCGGCATATACCCTTCGAGGTGCTGCATATTTGCTGAGTTATGCAGTGTACGTTGCCTGTACCATTCATGTTCGCAATGCTGTGGCAACCGATGGTAGCCAGCCAAGTGAAAATTCTTCCATACTATCTGCAAGTCTTCATAGCCTTGATGAGCTCTCGAAACCGAATGCCGGTGTATCTAAGACTGCGAGTATCATTCGAAAAATTATGGCTGATAATGGCCTAAAACTGGTGTCAGGTATTTTATCATTTGCATTTACTCTGTCTGGTGGTATGTGTGCTTACAATTAAATAGAACCAGTTATTGATATACATTCCCCATCTTCTTTGGATTTAGACGCCATTTTACGGATGTTCCCATCTAAATCTCCGACCCAAGGGCAACAGCCGAACCAGCCTGAAAATTTTGATCAAAATTATGGAATGAATCCATATGGACCAGAAGATCTACTTTATGGGTTTATGGATGGAGAAACAGCGGCCTTCTCGGACTTCACTAATAATGGAGCTTTCAGGCTATAGAGAGACGTTTCTCTCCTTCCTTGAACTCCTGACTAATCCCGCTACCGCTGTGGGTCAACGGAGATTGAGTCTCCGTCGCCGTAATTTATAATCAGGATGCAGGTCCATATTCTAGGGACGGATTAAGCCCTATCATTAAACTGCTGCTAATTCAACAATCCTAGTGTCCCAAGCGGCAGTAGTGATGTCATATTACTAAGAAGGTGAAAGAATGTATGGCGGAGTACGTTAAGATATCTGCTTCTGTATTTGAAATTATCCAAGATTACAGCTAACTATGTCCTCTACAGAGTCCATGCGACTAACAGGATGACGATATAGAATTATATATATTCTCGATAAACTTGGGACTGAAGGAGTTAAGCTGGTGCATTATTGAAGTACTGATCTACAGTTTAGCAGGCGTTTTTATCACGGTTTAGGGGCTATCGTATAGAGTAATGCTACTGTTTGATTGATATAATGGCTATTATTGGCACTTTGTATCATAGATTAGATCTTGAATCTAATCATATATCCTAGAATGAAAACTCAGCATTTATTCCAAAGAGCCTGCCTTGGTATCGGTTCACGATTTCTCCCAACTTTACCATAATACCAGCGGCCAGCATTCTGACTTGATCATCTTCCTTTGGGGTTATTTCAAAAATTCCTCCAACCCATTCTCGCATCTCCATTACTTGCTCTGTGAATTCGGTGACAAGACGTTCTTCCCCAGAGATTCCGGATGCAATATTAATATCCATTACGGCAAGAAAAAGTGACAGTATGGCGGAAAGAACAGTTGGTTCTGTAGCAACTGGGGAGTTATGGAGTGACATCAGTAGTGTTAGAACATCGGAAGTTATGGTCGGCTGGTTAACCGAACTCGGCCCAATGGTCGATATCACAATGTTGACAGTTTGTATAAATAAGGAAAGGAGATGAGGGGAGAGAAATGGGTTGTTGCCGTTATATGATCTAAATAGTCGAGTTAACGCTTAGTTTCTAATGCTAGATTAAACTTGGGCTGATGTATACATACGAAGTAGAATAAAGCATTAGACTAAACCCACCGATTAATGGGCGGAAGAACGCTTCGAATAGTGTTTTATGTAGATCTTTTGGAATCGACTTTGCCCTTCTTAGTTGTTCTCGTTCGTGCTTCTTCTTCTCCACTTCCATTCTTGACGAAAATGTGCGAACTTTGAGGGCATTTGGACCGCTCAGTGCGTCTGCAGCATTAAGAGCTAAAGGCTCTAGAGAGCTTCGGGCAATACTCCTAGATATAGCCTCAATTGGGGTATTTTTAGAAGCTGGGTCAAATTGGCTTTCAAGTCGAGATGGGAGTCGTTGAGACGGGAAAGATGCGTCCGTGGGAGCGGGGGGAAGGCCCATTGCCCTACTATCCTCTTCCCTGTACCCTGCAAGTTCTCTAGCTCCTAGGCCAAAGGCGACTAGTAACGAGGATCTTTGGGATTGGGATAAATCAATATGGAAAAATGCATTCGCTATCCATGAACCTAGAACCAGTGGGCGTGCAACAATAAGTGTGACCAGGCTCTGCAGGCGATATTCTTGGAATTTTGGAATATTATATTTGTCATGCAAGCCAGTAAGGGTAAGGGCAAGGTCATTAATGTGTTCGTCTAGTTCGGAGCCAAAGGCCGCTTTTCGCCTTATAAGGCTGGGTGCAGTCAAAATGCCTAGATTATAACGGTCATAATTGTCGATGTCACGAAGGTAGACTAAAAGATCCCTGATATATCTGTTGCGGACATAGAATTATCAGCAACATTAGATGGTTAAGTAAGGGAAAATAGGGTTGAGGTTTCTTACACAGGAGGGGTGGGCTTGGATCTCTGAATAAGTGTTGGGTCATCGTCAGAATCAGAGGCATCCGTATCTGGTTTTTGATACGGGGTAAGGCCATCCTCATCAGATTCATCTGAATCTTCCACGGGCAATATTTTGGAAGCCGCCGATTTTGCATTGGATTCTTGTCTTTGCTTATGTTTGGTATTTGGGACTCTTCTTTCGTTTATTCCCGTTGAGGGCAACGTATGTGAGATTTTCAAGTTCTCTAGCGTTCCAACTCGGTCCTGGGTATCTGGTAATTTCAAGAACCATGAAGCCTCGTCGCTTTCCATTTCAGCCAGGTCGAATTTCATGCGGCTTTCGGGTTTATCAATCAGCTTGGATAATGAAGTGCCAACTACCATCCCTAAGAAACGAGATCTAGTGGATGCTGCTCCAAGGCGATTCGAAATAGCAGATAGATAGGAACTGGACTGAACGAGACCGGATAGATCAGTGGTTTCAAGCCTGTTCAAGTAACCAGCAGCGAGGAGGATAACTTGTGCATTCGCTATATATCCAAACCAGTTTAATCAGATTAGGTGGTTCTAATATGTTGCAAATTGGCTTGGTAACAATTACCTTCTTGGGCTAGTATAGGGGAATGCTTGATTGAGAGTTTATCTCCAAAAAGATCAATTGATTTTGTAAATATTTGTGAAAGTGAGTCTAATAATTGTTAGCGATGGAAGAGATACGGGAACAATGGAAAGCTTACCTGGGGTCGGAAGCGAGAGTAGCCAGAAGCGAACGGCGCATAAAAACGCTGTTTATGCTACCTCCCTATTCCCCGAGATAAGCCAGTTTTTCAGAATCTCTTTCATAATGGCAACATCCCTTGTATCAGTGATAGAATTGTTGAGACGGTAGATATAGAAATATCCACCACGTTGCTCTTTTCATTTTCTAGCAGATTTATCAAAAAAGTCCTTTCTAGGTAACGTAGAATTGATTCTAAAATTCTTCTTTGGTCATGCTGCCGCAAGATTTTCAGCAGGTTAATGAGCTTTTCGGTGCCTGGCCTGTCCTTCTGGAATAATAGGCCATTTAAAACCTCACCAACCACTTGATCTATCATTTAAATGGCCGAATTAGTTATAGGTCACTATATTGTTGAGGGGAGAGGGTTTTACCTGTCTGACCAGTGCTTAGTGACCGGCTAGTAAATACACCCAGATACTTCCAACCTTGATCGTCATCAATAGGGAGATGAGACGCCATATGGCTGATATTTCTCCCTAGCCAAGAAGCATAGAGTTTCCCATTAGAAATCCAGGAGTGAGGGGAAGATTCTATAGATAACTCTGTATAGCCAAATGACTCAGCAGCAATTGATAGAACTTTCCCAGATGCAAGGAGAGAAACAGCCTCTTGCAAGAGAAGCTGTTGTTGGACCGCATTGTCATTGAGCCGGAGTATATCAGTAAATAGCTGGAAAAGTAAGTCATTGGGTGATAATAGGTGTGAGAGTAAGGATAGAGCATCTTGTATTAGTGATCCATTCTTAGAGCCGGCCTTCTTCCCATGCGGAAGATTTTGACTCGGGAGAAGACTTCGGATATAAGCCAGTAAAGTTCCAATTCCAGAAGGACTCTTCACACATCTTAATAATATAGCTTGTGGTGTCTTCCTGGACGAAAGTTTGTATGAGGTTTCTAGTCCATATTCCATCCCTAAGCTATCCCAATGGTCACAAATGGTAGTTGTGATCAAAGCATGGAGTATTTGAGCTCCAAGAGAGCTTGGGATGATGATATTAAAATCTCCATCCTCCAGCCTGGCGGGATCAAGAAATTTCAATACCTCTAATAAAGTTGATATAGATGGCTTGGATTTTAATTTTTGCAATACATCTTCCGGTGATGATATCTGAGCTTCAGATTGTTCATCTTCGATGACTGAGATCCGCGGAACAGTTGAAGTTTCTTGAACAGGAGGTTGTGGTATTAAGGGATCTTCGGAGATTTCCGGCGACTTGACAGCTTTAAGAAGTCCTTCCATGGCTATGGGTGTTGTAATGCTCCAGCAATATCCCGTGTATGGATTGACAAGGGCTGTGTGTTGATGAAACTGATATCAGGATGGTTATTAGTAGGTGTGGATTACGTAAGCTAAATCATCTTATTGATAAACGCGGTCATGTGACGTGACTTGGTCAGCGGGGTCTCCCTTTTGCCTTTGGTGAGAAGAAACGTCAAGTTGAATCTACAACTTTTTGCAAGCTGTATAAACCACTACGTGGTTGAACTCAAGCTACATTTCAAGAAAGATATAAGTGTAAATCCTGCCCTTATATCACATTTTTAGCTTGATTTAGAGAATCGCTTTGCATAGCTGGACTGTTGGTAGCCGGTAGTTTCTTGATAGGAGCTTTGAGAGTGGCTACCACGGATAGCTTTAGCCTGAAGAGGAATTGCTATAAAATGGGCAGCTCGATGCCTGATGGACAAGCTTCGGATCGATGGTGTGTTACTATAATAGCCTCGACCAAATGTATATATTCTTGGCCAAACACTAACATGGTGGTAGGAGATATTTGCATCGAGTCCTGACGCGGTCGGGTCCATATAGTGACCCGGATTGGGTCCCTGGACCGGAAACTATTGCTGGCCTAGAATCATCAAAGATTCTGTAAGCTCTGAAACCTTTATCTCATACAGACAAGAAGGGTATTAACGGTTTGCTAGGGTAATGTGAGAATAAACCATCTTATGTTCTGTTCCTTGTAGACAGCTGTTAACCCCTTTAAGAGGCGCTGGAGGCTTAGGGTGTGAGATATTGAAAAACCTTGCGCTGTCTGGCTTTAAGGATATCCACGTGATAGATATGGGTATGTTTTCTTTGCTCATATCGGTGATACTCTTTGTTTACTTGTCTTACACTCTACAGATACCATTGATATCTCGAACTTGAACCGCCAATTCTTGTTCCGTCAAGCTGATGTTGGCAAACCTAAAGCTGAGGTTGCTGCAGCATTCGTTGAGAAGCGTGTGAAGGGCGTCAAGATCACTCCGTTTGTAGGGAAGATCCAAGACAAAGATGAGGAGTACTACATGCAGTTCAAAATCATTGTTTGCGGCCTGGACAGCATTGAAGCTCGTCGGTGGATTAATTCTATGGCTGTGGGGATGGTTGATCCGGAGAATCCGGAGAGTTTGAAGCCTCTCATAGACGGTGGCACAGAGGGTACGACGCGTTCGATCAATACCCTTCCGACTTCATGCTGACAGTTTTTTGTATAGGGTTCAAGGGGCAAGCTAGGGTCATTTTGCCTACACTAACCTCATGCATTGAGTGCCAACTTGATATGCATGCCCCCCGTGCGGCAGTCCCATTATGTACAATCGCAACTATCCCTCGACAGCCCCAGCACTGTATTGAATGGGCCCATCAAATTGCATGGGGTGAGCAAAGGAAAGGCGAAGACTTTGATGGTGACGACTTGGAACACGTAACATGGATCTACCAGACGGCCCTTGAGCGAGCAAAACAATTCTCGATTCCTGGTGTTACTTTCTCCATGTCTCAAGGAGTGGTAAAGAATATCATCCCAGCGATTGCTTCAACAAATGCGGTTATTGCAGCGGCTTGCACTTCCGAAGCCCTTAAAATAGCAACGTCTTGCAATCCATACCTGGAAAATTATATGATGTACGCCGGAGAGGAAGGTGTTTACACATACACATTTGCGGTGGAGCAGAAAGAAGATTGCCCAGTTTGTGGAAACCTTGCCAAAACTATAGAAGTGAGCCCAGAATCGACGTTGGAGCAATTCATTGAGTCTCTCGGGGAGAGGGCTGAGGCACAGTTGAAATCCCCAAGTCTGAGAACAGAGCAAACGACTCTATACCAACGATTTCCACCACAGTTAGAGGAACAGACGAGACACAATCTACAGAAAAAGCTGAAGGACTTACTAGAAAGTGGTGAGGAGGTTGCAGTGAGCGATCCCGCTTTCACAATTGACTTCCGATTTAAACTAGTTTTCTGATAAAAACGGCTCAGCTTGTCCATAGAATTTATCACTGTTGTTTAATAAAAGGCCTTTTTGAAAAATATTGATATTTCCAACTACACTATGATAGCTAGATCGTATATGGTCGTAAGGAAAAAAACAACGCCGCCCAGAAGAAACGCCTTAGAACGATCATGTATGGTACGCCCGGTTATCCATCTAAACTTTTCTTTTTGACGCCAGAAGGTATGCATGTACATTGGTGAAAGATCCGTAGATGCGACTGAATTTACGCATGTGTGTCTGTGTTATCAGCCAAGGCAGCAACATTCCGCTTCAATCTCTGGCACTTGAGTTTTAGAACCTTGATGCTTTCCAAGAACATATGGTCGCTGTTGAACTGCCCGGTACTTTCAATATTGAAGATAAAATGATCCCGTACCCGGCCAAGTTTGACTTTATCCTTAAACTCATCGTGGCGCAAGCATTCTCTGCTAACTGTGTCTTTGAAAGGATCAACGACAACAGCCTTTTTCTCTCCTTCCTTTCCTTCGTAACCGCTACCCACTTGTGCGGCTTCTGCAGCAGTCACGTTCTCAACTGCAACAACACCCCTTGGGAAACAGCTTGCAAACTTGATTGCGTCATTTCCGAGGATAGGGCGGAGTATCTTTATGTCAGGTAGAAGTCGATATGAGGCAGTAGCAACCGGTGAGAATTTTGCGTGATCTGCTCCTATTCCCTTGATGCAATGCATTTCGATATCAATTTTTTGTCCGGGTCTTAGTTTAGCCAGGAGAATGTCTGGGTTGCATGATTGGATAGCACCGTCCCCATGGAAGTATTTCTCCTGTCGTCCTTGGGGCTCGAAGACGAGGTCTTTAGCATATATATGCGCATTGTTATAAAGTATAGTCGGGTCCTCCTCGCCTGGGGGTGCACTACGATTCTTTGTGCATTCTTTTACCAGCCGCAAGACGATGGTGTTTGAGTCTTCGTGAGTGCTGCCACTGTCTGGATCACCTTCCTTTGGTGCTTTAAACCAGCGAAGCCAATTTAAGCCTTCAAGAGAACCTTTAAGTGGGATTAATCCAAGACGATGGGCGAGAACTTCGTCCTGTATGACTGATGTGTTATTCTGGATATAGACATATTCGATGGCGAGCGCAGGGATCTCGGCAAGGAGAATGCGGCGAAATGCGTTCGCGATAGCAGCATCAACCCCGATCAGTGAGAATGAAGCTTCCAGAGGGTCGTTTTTGTGAAAATCTATTTTCAAACCCTTTAAATCCAAGGTGTTGTTAGAATGACGCTACTTTGGATAGAAGATCCGCAGCAACTTACCTCCCTGAACCTGTCAATGGACCACGCATGGTTCTCACCTGGCCAATGACTTGGAAAATCAGTCGCTGAAGGGTTTGTGACCGTCTCCGGGTTGATGCCAATTATCTACGAGATATCAGTCAACTTCTCGTCCCCCTCTGTATTTGGCACGTCCATAGACATACCTTCCGCCGCTGCACTTCCTCTGGGACCGCAATTCTGGGCGCCATCTCAGACTAATAGATAGGGTATATGCCGTCTGCCTGTAGGGCAATTCGAGAGGTGTTCTCCTGTTTAACTGCGGAGTATCAATCAATCAAAAACCGAAAGAATATTTTCTTGATTAACTAAGTAGCCAAAAGCTCTAAAAAAGAAATTTTGCACTGTTTGGTGAGAAGGGAGCTCCCAGCCAATCAGAAACCCCACATTTCGATTTCATGTCTCACGTGACGGCTTCAACCGCATCTTTCACAACTTTTGGCCAGAAACGAACGAAGCAAAGCGGACGAAGACTTGATCAATTGAACAAGCAAAACACCATCTTTGCTCACAGCAGGATCTGTCCAGGTCGTATTGGGGGCTGCTATTTGAGCCTCCCCGTCCGTTGGCCATGGCTTCCTCCATCACATTTCTCGCACGCCATGTGCCAAAGCGGCTCTGTCTGAGTCCCTCGTCTCGGTCGATTTCCGCCAAAACATCCAGGACGACTACCTTCTCGCGGTCGATATCTGCCTCTGCGCCGTGCCGCTACGCTGAAGCATACCAGGCTACCAGACTGATCCCCACAGACCCAGCATTCAAGCCGGATACTTCCAAGACCGATGCTTCTCCAGCTGCACTCGAGTCCGAGACCACATATGGCCGAAAGATCCGCCATTACACCGTCAATTTTGGTCCCCAGCATCCCGCTGCCCACGGCGTGCTTCGATTGATCCTGGAGCTCAACGGAGAGGAGATTGTTCGCGCTGATCCCCACGTCGGTCTTTTGCACCGAGGTACGGAGAAGTTGATTGAATACAAGACCTACATGCAAGCTCTGCCGTATTTCGACCGATTAGACTATGTCTCTATGATGACGAACGAACAATGTTTTTCGTTGGCGGTAGAAAAACTACTGAACATTGAGATCCCCGAGAGAGCCAAGTGGATTCGAACTTTGTTTGGTGAAATTACTAGAATTCTTAACCATCTCATGTCTGTCCTTTCTCACGCTATGGACGTCGGTGCTTTGACTCCATTCTTGTGGGGTTTCGAGGAGCGAGAGAAGCTGATGGTACGCCCATAGCCATTGAATACTTTGATAATACCAACAGTACTGACGTGTAGAAATAGGAATTCTATGAGCGAGTGTCTGGCGCACGTCTCCACGCAGCTTATGTTCGCCCAGGAGGTGTTCACCAGGATATCCCCGTTGGCCTCTTGGATGACATCTACCAGTGGGCCACTCAGTTCTCTGATCGCATTGATGAGACCGAGGAACTTCTCACCGATAACAGAATCTGGAAGGCGAGAACTGTCGGCGTTGGTGTAGTAACTGCGGCTGAAGCTCTTAACTATGGCTTCTCCGGTGTTATGTTGCGAGGCTCAGGAGTTCCATGGGACATTCGCAAGTCTCAACCCTACGACGCCTATGGACAGGTTGAATTTGACGTTCCTGTCGGTGTCAACGGTGACTGCTATGACAGATACCTCTGCCGAATGGAGGAGTTCCGTCAATCCCTTCGCATCATCCACCAATGCCTAAATAAAATCCCCGCTGGACCCGTGCGTGTTGAGGACTATAAGATCAGCCCTCCCCCGCGTATAGCCATGAAGGAGAACATGGAAGCTTTGATCCATCACTTCTTGCTCTTCACCAAGGGATACACCGTGCCACCAGGAGAAACCTATTCTGCCATCGAGGCTCCAAAGGGTGAAATGGCCGTTTTCCTCGTCAGTGATGGTAGTGAAAGACCCTACAGGTGCAAGATCCGTGCCCCGGGTTTCGCGCATCTTGGGTGCTTTGACCAGCTTTCCCGAGGCCATCTTCTAGCTGATGCTGTTGCTATCATCGGTAAGCATACTGCTTCTAAAACGTGATATTCAAATATAAACTAACGTTTACTTCTTTGCAGGTACCATGGATCTCGTGTTCGGTGAGGTCGATAGGTGACATTGTATCATGAGCATATAATATACTTCTTCCCGTTCATTCCCGTTTTCTTTCGTTCTGTCTCCTTTCCGTCTTTTCCCCTTTGACAGTGTTTTTCTATTGCTCGAAGTAAGCTTTGTCGTTTTATCTTAGAAGTGTAACGTAAAAGAATGGGTGAGGTCGTCCCTTGTTTTCGTTCTTCTTCTCACCTCAACCTTTTGACGGATAGATCTAAGCTTGGAGCCCAGCCCTAGTTTTATTTATCTGCTACTGTATATGCATCATCTGTCTCATTATGACTTTACCTCCTCTTTCCTTCCGTTGCGCATCATTTTCACCGTAAATATCTCTTGCATAGTGCTATTTAACTTGCAGGCAGGCAACTGATATCATTGGTACTTGATATAAGCTTGCATTTGTTACTGCAACAAACGATGCATCCAAAATAAGAATAACAAAAAAGTAATGATAGGAGTCCTAGAGTATCCAATGTAACGATCGTGTTCGGTCCGGAACACCGTGCCTGAGAGAAAATAACACCAATAGTCCATACATACCAAAAACAAACGGTCAGAACGCCATCTAATGATAATGGCGACGTTTGGAAAGTTGGGCAAGGAAATAATTCACCTTATCGAAGTGAAAGAAACAGCAATATCAATAGCCGAACAATTGGAGTCACTTTTTAAGGACGCCTTGTCTCCGTACTTCTGTTTGGGCTCTTTGTTCCGTTCAGACAGTGTGGTCATCATAAATAAACCTGATATCTCGTGGGCGGCGAGTATCTCGTCTGACAAAGTCTTCATCACCTGGTGGTCTTTCATTCTTGGTGTTTCCCGTAAGCATGCTCTGGATGCTCATGCAAACGCTCTCAACGGACTGGATGGGCGACCATCCCGCAGAACCGAGCAGATCCAGGCATATGATTCCGTTGCTATATATGTGGGGATGCATAGGTATTGGGCGCGGTGTCTCTGATGTCGGCGGTAAGGAGATGAACTGAACCTCTGGAGCTTCTAGCATTCCAAAGAAGAGCATCGTCAGTCGATATGCTTACAACGGTCCATAGACAATCTGCATACCTATGGGGTAGTTTTTGCTGAATGTAAATTTCAAGCGGTACGTCTCGTCCTTATAGATTGGATTATCGTCCAGCACGCGAATGTCCATCTCCCACTGCTCTAGGTTGTCCGCCTTTGCGACTGCGATCCCGGGGGGTAGGGAGCCCTGCATCTGTGAAGAGCATATCCAGGTTAGCTATCGAAGACTGGCTGTAGCTGGTAATGTGGGACAGGTCCTAGAAGGAGGGAGGTGGGCGCAATCGTAGCAGTCGTACCTTGACAAGCTCCTGTATAGCCACGTTAGCTCTGAGGCGCTATAACTGACGATGGATGATACATCTCGACTCTCCGAAGGAATATAGAAATACCTTGCTCAGCCTCTTGCTGGCAAACATCCTGCACTGGATAATAAGTTGTGTTATCGACCTGAGCTGCGGTTGCGGGGTAGAGCTAACAGGCAACTCTGCAAGTCGCAGTAGTATATACCTGTAAGAAGAAAAAAAAGGAGAAGTTGTAGTAGAAGAAGCAGCAGACAGAAAATGGAGCAAGATTTATAGCGTAGGGTATCTCATGCCACGGCGGTTGGTCAGTAGTTGGCGGGCAGCAAGAAGATATCCAGTTCTAGGCTCCTTAGTTAAGTAACTAACTTCACTACCTAATTAGCTAAGAGGCTCCGGAGGCGAAGGAACGCTGAGTGAAGGCCCCTGAGAGCAACAGTGACGGGTTGAAGAGCTAGCTAGGCAGTTAATATATCTATCTCACTGGGCTAGGAGACAGGCGTGTCTTTTGTTTATATCATTTACTGTCTGGCCCCGAGCAAACGGCCTTCTTCGACTTCACTTAGCTACCTACAAGCTCCCGTCGCTCTTGGTCCTCGGGACGGTGTAAACGCTTTTCCGTATTTAACTATTTTTAGGTACGGTAACTTCATAGTAGTTTATATTTAGGTCAGCTCAGGCGTTATTCTTCAATTATTTGGAGGCCCAAGTCATGTTCATGTTGGCTGAGAAGTTACTATTACGTCAAGTATTAATCACGATAGGAAAGTATCAGCAATTAAAACGCTCCTTGCAGGGCAACGGTAGCTACCTCTTGCAGTCGGAGTAACTGTGCTCGATAAGATATGTTTGCTAGCTGCTAAATATGAGAGTGAGCTCAAGCTACTGTCTTTTCGGCAGCCGTAGGTGTGGCTGGGTTTGAAAGGCCAAGACGTTCAGGCTTCTGCAGCACAACTGAGGGTTGGTTAGGGTTGAGATCACACTGCAATAGTTCGTCGGTTTGATCCATGCATGGTTCCATACTCCATAGTCGATGCGCTAGAAACTACCTTCGGGAGCTTAACCACTGGTTGGCCTCATTCCACACTTTGGCATCAACTCCCGACTCCTTGTTAGCCACCTGGACCGCCTTGTACACCTGTGATAATTTGATTAGTCCATAGAGTCATCACTAATTGGGAACTGGTAGCTTACCGCATCCCATAGATGGAAGGACACCTCTAGATTCTCAGAGAAGCTGTGGCTGTGCTGGAACCATTCTTTGCCCTTGGCCTTGACTTCTTCTCTGATGGCATCGGTGGTGGGCTCTGGCTCCTGCGGTAAGTCGTCTAGATAGGTTCGGACAGCAATTGCAAGACCACAATCATTGTCATCGATAAAGGGGAGACTGGATACAAGTTAGATAGAATAAATCATTGCTAGCGGAATCTTCGACGTACCTTAGACTTAAATCAGTCCAGTCATCACGTTCCCTATTGGCATCCCCACTGAGCAGCAACGATGCGAGAACAACTTCCATCAAGTCACGAAGAGCCGTGCGAACGGTGCTGACAAGAGAACGGAATGATAGAAGCTGCCTGCTGAGTGGTCCAGAATACCCAATGGGCTTGTGCTGGATTTTACCGAAACATGCAACTCGCGAGATCAAGAGGTTATTCCTCTGTTCTTCATCTGCTGGGAATGTTAGACCCTATATATGGAATCTTGGGGTGGGCCGTAAACTCACCAGATCCTCTCATTGGGCCGCCTGAAGTGTTGGGGAACCAGTCCTTTGCGCTCAGGATACCCAGACGAATAAGCTCTACAGCCAGGAATGTTGGTTCCTCTAAGTTATCTGAAGGCTGGAGGGAAGAGAGTGCGGATTCAAGAGCTTTTCCCCAAGTGGTGAGTTGGTGTTTGGAGTCGACATAGCCTCGTAGTTGGAGGAACCTCCAAGTAACATTGGAGACTATCTCTTGTTTGGTCGTCAGGGGCTAGAATAGTTAGCTAATGAAAACTACATCATATGTATATTTGATATACTTACTGCAGCATCCTTGGGAGAGAAGGACTTTGGCACGAAACCTTGGTCTTTCAGTGCCGACAGGCAAGAAGTGAGAAGTGGGGCGTTTTCCTATTACTTGTTAGCACCCTTTGAACCGTACATGTATAGAATTCAAATATAGAATTACCTGACGTTTCAGTACATTCTCTGGCATCTGCTTGCCTCCCAGACGCCAGCTGGATATTGTGTCTTTGACCGAGGGAAGGTCCTTGAGGTGGATTGATTTATCTGTTTTGTCATCGTACCAGGCTCGGACGTTAATGACCTTTGTCTGATAAAAGCGGTGGAGCGAATTGGACAAAAGGCACAGCGCTTGTGTCCTGATTGGAGGGAGGTTCTCAGTGAGAAGGCGGCGATAGACAGGGGTATCTTCAGTGCCAAGAGGAAGGGTAAGTAGAAGTTCGCCGGATGTGAGCCAATTAGGGATCCGTGAGCCTAGTATGCCCTTTGATATGTAAAAGTAAAGCTCCTCAGGGAGGCGTTGTCCAATAAGCTCGTGTAGGTCAGAAGACGCATTCTCTGGATCAAGTGGGCCGACTTTTCCATCTGTATCCATAATGACATGATGCTTAACAGTCATGAAAGCACGCTTGAAGCGATCCATGTAGTCAAGGTCATGGACTCTCTGGTCCTCTTCAAACTGAGCGCACAGAGCAAGCGCGTTTCTACCAGCAGAATTGAACATCCCGACGGCATCTCTGATATTGACCCGCTTTCCACCACCATATCCTGGTGTTTCAAAGGGTGGGAATGTGGGAAGGAAACGGGATCCGAGGAGGAGACACAAGTCAGCAAATTGCTGGTTTGAAAGACGGCCAAGCTCTTCCTGGCAGAGTGATTTGGTCACCCAATTAAAGTGGCGCTGGTCAGTGTCCATCTTGGTAATAATTTTTTCAGTATCAAAAAGGAAGAGCTCTGCCGGGCCGAACACGGCATCAATAAATCTGTGAGGCTCCTTTTCAAGGTAGGCCAGCTACAGAGGGTGTTAGCCTGAGAAGTAGAAGTATGCAGTCCTGGCGCTTTGCACGTACCTGAGCCGAGGCCGCATAAGGTGCGACTATAAAGTTAATTCCTTCTTCTTCAAGAATTCGCTGTAGGAATTTATAAAGGCTCTCAGGATGTGTGCTCCCTGTTCCGATTGTACGTTTAGCAGCCATCCTTTAATTGCTTAACCCTGAAAGGTGCGGGGGATGAGAAGGGGCGGCGGGGGCTATTAATTACCAGCACCGCTAAAAGCATCAACAACCTGATCGGCCTGTTGTTGATCATAATATTCCCAAGCCTGGTTCAACGCCTTGGTGTTCTCTGCTTGCGCCGAAAAATCTGGGTGTGGTTTGCCTGCATCAAGGCCATCAAAGACAAAAACGGGAGTGACGGTCGCTGCTTTCAACGCCTGGAGTTCGCGGGTGATGTTGGCTTGGAGGGCAAAGGGGAAGCCTCCAAGGGCGATAAGGAGAGGCTCTTTCGTCACATAGTGATTTAAATGGAGGTCGAGGTAGTGTGTGGCATGAATGCCTATCGCTGAGCCCTTGAGTACAGCTAGATCGAATGTTTGGGTGCGGGTGTTGACCCATTCATCAAGTGGACGAGCTGTAGATGTCATGTTAGCTTAACCGTCTTTTGCCTGTCCGGTAAATGAGGAATAAACGAAAGAGAAACTATGCCAGCTACTTACTCGACATTGCTGCAGGCATGGTTGTATCTGGGGTAAATTATATATTCTCGGACAGCTCTAGCTGTCTTTTTGCTGAAGCTTGACACACGCGATAAGGAGTCCTGGGGATTTGCCTTGCGGACGATAGCAAGGGGGAGGAAAACACAACGGAGGCGAGTGACAAAGGGCCTTTATGATAAACAGGAGAGGACGTAAGAAAGAAGAAGACGACGGTTTGTTTAAAACTGCATCAACTTTTCAATCAAAAGCTCGAAATGGCGGTTTCCAGCGACGTCAAGATGACTAATCCAGGGTGATAACCAGGTCACGGGCAATTGTGTTTATATAAGTGGTTATCTTATCTCGATAAGGAAGTTCGCGACTTCAGCTTCATCCTACATAGCAAAACACCCTGCAAAGAGACGCTGAATTTGCTATCTATCTTGAGATATACAGTCAGATAAGCTATATATTGGCTATATAGTGTGAATACATCTACCATGGCCTCCGCAGGAGAGATTCAGCTCCCTGTTATCGATATCTCTAGTACAACCGCCGAGGTTGGCAAGCAAGTCATCGATGCAGCTAAGCAGTATGGCTTCCTCTATGTCGATACAGCCAGCAGCTGTTTCTCCAAAGACGAGATAGATTCTACCTTTAAAATGGTATCCTACCACTTTCCTCACTCCAAGAATATCAAGCATTCTGTACACTATAGATCTATATAGTAAACATTCAAACTAACTCATCACACAGGCACAAGAATTCTTTGCTTCCCCCATCGAAGAGAAAAAGGAAGTATCAATCAAGTCAAATGTATGTCTAGACTGTCCCCGCATAGACACTAAGGCCCGGAACAAGCTGATGTGGCTAGAACATGGGTTGGACAGACATGCATGCGGAGACCCTGGACCCGGAACACCAGAAGGTACGGGGTATGTCTTATAACACAGCTTAAACAAAACTAACGACGATAAAACCCCAGAGAGGAGACTTTAAGGAGTATACACCCTCTTTAACATATATAATACCCAACAGTGTAACAAACGGTATCTGACGTGAGCAGAGCAATCAACTTCGGTGAATCAAAAATAACAAAGCAAACCAACCACTCCTAAATCGCTGCTCCCTCACGAACAGGATCTAAACCACTTCACATCCCTATGCCAAAAGACATGTGGTCGCATCCTCACCCTCCTCGCTCTAGGCCTAGACGTACCTCTCCCTCTCCCCTATCATAACCAACGTACCAAACCACTACCAAGCTAACACCAGCTAGATACCGCATAACTGGTTCTCGTCCCGCCACGACCCATCCCAAGGTCCATCGGGCAGCACCTTGCGATTCCTACACTACCCTTCCCTCCAGAGCCCAAGCACACAATCGTTCAAGCACGGCGTGGACGTACGTGCCGGCGCACATTCAGACTACGGCAGCATAACGCTCCTTTTCCAACGGGATGGGCAGCCTGGGTTAGAGATTCTCACGCCAGCTGGTACGTGGGCTGCTGTGCCTGTTCGGCCTGCGGGGGTATCTGGTTCGCCAACGCTTGCGCCGCCTATACTGGTTAATATAGGTGATTTGCTTAGCTATTGGACATGTGGACTGTTGAAGTCTACAGTGCATAGGGTTGTTTTTCCGAAGGGCGAGGAAGAAGGGAAAGGAAATGAAGGGGAGGGGAGGGATAGGTATAGTATCGTGTATTTCTGCCATCCGTGTCATGAGACGGAGCTGGTTGCTGTGCCTAGTAAGGTTGTTGAAGGGTTGGGGAAGGATGTGGGAGGAGGGAAGGTAGTTACTGCTCGGGAGCATTTGGCGAGTAGGCTTGCTGCTACTTATGGTAGCTCGGTGGGAGAATACAGCCGTGAATAGGTAGGCAGGCAGGCGGGCAGGTAGGTAAGGAGGGAGAGCAACTGGCTTAATTGGATCCATTGATTGTGGTATGTGCTTTCGAGAGTTTGATGTATATGTATGTACGGTATCAATTCTCCAGCATCAACACAGCACTACACTACACTATTACATACATACAATCCCGATAGACGACATACACAAGGAGATATAAGCTATAGATATAATGATAAGAGATATATGCAGATGAACAAAAACCAAGAAAGGAAAAAGAAGAGAAAGATATATCCTATTGACCACCCCCCTTCCCATCCGCACCTAGCCTAACCAAAGCCAATTAGGTCACATGCGTGAAAATGCAGCAAATGCAACAACCGGAGGAATGATATAATACGGAGACGAGAACAGAATTGGAACAGGTAACAGATGCCATGAACAATGAGATAACGATATAAGTAGGAAAGCAAGCTAAGGAAGGACGGTCAGGTAGATGAATGACGTTTAAGGCAGATACAATGGACTTGCTAGGAAACGGAGCGAGAACAAACGCTATCAAATGGATTGACGTCGAGTTGGTGATGATGGCAAGCAAGTTGAGCAAGTGAGTACGTGTGCCGGCAGCAGTGTACGAACTGCGTGTAACGAGAAAGGTAGAAGAGGTAGTAGGTAGATAGATGGTTCGGTGGGTATAGATGGATAATGTCATGACACGCCCGTGAACGACCATGGAGCGAGGCAGGATAACGGCAACGATGTATAAAGAACAGCGCTAAGTAGTTTAAATAGCATGAAGATCTGGCTGTGCCATCCAATCCGAGGACATGCGGACGCGGATTATGCATATGCGTCGCGAGCAAAGTGAGAATATACAGATAAGCAGGGCGAGGGAAGACTTTTTGGGTAAAGTCAAGTAGAGTTGAGAGATGACGGGGAACGGATGAAGACAGGCTTGCTAATGTCCAAGATGGATTATGAGAGAGAAACAGAGAAGCAGAAGCAAAAAGGGGAATCGTGCAAATGCCAGAAGAGATGAGAAAAGCAAGGAAAACAACAAACAATAACGTAGGAGAGGCAGATTAGGTTGTCACTGGGTGATGATGATAGCCGTGGTGATGTTAGTAGTGATGTTAGTAGTAGTGGTTGGTGGTGGTAATAATGGTGCCAGGCATTGACATCTCGTAACAAAAGAAACTCGTCGGATGTATAGATGGGATATATTAATGAATGAGGCGGTGAAAAAGAGAGGAAATCACGGGGAACTAATGTTCCGGCGAGGAATGGCACCAGTGTCGATGGTATACCCACGCGTTCTTCTGGCACTCCTTGCTGCAATACTTTGTCCTCCTACATCGTCGGCACTTTGCAAACTGTCGCTGGAACTCCTCCCACTTGCCGCACTTGTAATACGTGGG